CCCCCCCCTTCATTGTGGTATTTAATGAAAACATAGAATGCATAAAAACTTCAGCTTCCATCCAAGAAATGCAATTTAACTTTAAAGCAACTTTCCTATTATGTTTGTTCCTTGCTCAAGCAGCTGCACTGCAGCTATCAACAAAAGAATAAAGTAATTTTGCTCAGAGAAAACTCATTCCAATTACCCATAATAATTTGTAGGAGATGTTTAAGTGTAAAGAAATAGCATATGCAGTAGCTCCCCCCTCCCCTTCCCCTGTAAGTTTTTGCACTCATCTATTGTATCTGGTTTTCACCAGATATTAACATAAAGAAGTGTGTAATTAAAGTCAGGGAAGGGAGGAAATTGAAAGGAAGAATAAAGATACTTAGCAAGTGCATCGTATGAAAGGTCATAGCTGCTGTGGGAGGAAGAAATAGCAGAGGAAAACTGGGGATACAAACTTGCATGTTGCTGATTTTCAAGAGGCAGGTGTGGTGTGAACATGGGTTATGTTCCTACCATGGACAAGTTTCTTGAGAGACTAACAGGGTCAAGTTCACAGATGGTCTTCTACTAATTCTGATTGGAAGTATGGAAATACATTTCTGATTTAGTAAAGGCATTGTGTTTAATTGGCATGTAACGTGCATACCATGAAGAGTGTTTTAATGAGATCTTATTTTTCATGGGCTTTTTACTTCCTAGACTGTGTGCAGAAATCTGAGATCTGTCTACCCTAGAACACGTTTGAATGGTAAACCGCACTGTTACAACAGGGGGAGAGTTGAGCAGTTGGAAGGTGGAGGGATGTTAGTCAGGCTGTTCAAAGCTCTGTGGTTTTGTGTTGGTATCTGGCACTTCAGTCATGGTGCAATAGCATGAGAAGGAGCAGACTATCTCCAGGAGGCTTGAGTACTGCTGCAGCAAGCCCAGAAGAGAGTGGTTTTTCTACTGCTAAGTGAAAAAAGGAGGGCTTTTTGTTACTGTGGTTGTGGTTTGTATTTTCTTCCATTCAAGGCCCACTTTTTTACATCCAGAAGAAAACATACAAAACAACATGATAATTTACACATAAGAAAACTGATTTATTTTTATTGGGTAGTAGTGAAGAAGAGGAGGAATAGGGGAAAAAGAAAGTTTCCCCCACAAGAAGCAGCTCAGTTAAAGCCCTGTGCTCAAAATGAGGAAAAAAAACCTGCTAAGTTAAAATAACTCAGTGCTGAAACTCTAAATGTCTTCTATTTTTTTTCTTTTGACAGGCTTTGCCTGTGAAGTGCTGCTTTCACAGTATATGCCATCTAGTTGGTACCTGCCTGAACCTCAGAACAGGTTTATCGTGACTGTGTGACTACTCTGTATCTGACTGTCTCTCATGGCTACTGGCTGGTATTTTTACAGGGGGTTCAATTTCAGTCCAGATACCTTACTGAAGAACTGCGGAGGATTTTCACTGAAGACACTGACTCTGAAACGGAAACGTTTGAAGGTTTTGCTTCAAGCGAGGTGGATGTAAACAAGAAGGGAGTTCTGGTAAAGGCAGTCACCTGTGCAAGAATGTATATGTTGGCTTCTTTTTTTCTCTCTTCTGTGTAAAACTCATGTTCTAGTAGGATTATTTCTGATACACCATGATGTTATTTATTCACGCTGAAGAAAAATATGTGCTATCTTAAAAGAGAGAAAAAGCTTTATTTACTGTAACATTGTATATTAGAAATTAGAACTTCTTCCCCAGCTTGTAGTCAGACTGTGCTGGACAATACTGTTCCTGTGATGACAGCCATGTCTGTATCCAGACAGTATTATGTATTAATGTATTAATATGTATTATATATACTATTAATATATATATTATATATACTATGTATTAATACATAGATTTTGTGTTGGTCTCTGCACAGGAAGAAGCCGTGTACTGTGAACTTTAAAAACTTTGTTTATCATGGTGAATTTATGACAGTACCTTTGGGTGGTGAGACTGCTGCCTAGAATTAGTGATTTAAAAATTACCTTTCTTGTGTCATAGCCAATAGCGTAACATGGGATTCTTCTGAACTCTAGGTGGTGGAGTCGGACCTGAGTGATGAAGAACATGAGAAATTATTAGCTAGTGAGGGAGAAGAGGAGGAAGAGGCAAAGAAGGAAGTTTCCCCCAAGAGAAGAAGCTTTGGCCTTCGTGTTGCCTTGCAGTTTCCCACCAGAAAGTCGTCCGAGAAAAAAGTGCCTGAACAGGGTTTTTCTAACTTACCTCTGAAGGACAGCGAGTCCCTTACACCTCTTTCAAAAGAAATAAGCTGCAAGCAGTGGGACAAACTAGAGGGCTCTGCTTCAGAGTCTGAAGAAGACATTAAAGAAACACAGGAGGAAAGTTCCAGTGCTCTGCTTAAGAGAGCCATGAATATTAAAGAAAATAAAGCCATGGTAAGACTTAGGAGCAGTGGTTTGTTCCCCGACATTTACATCCGAGTACTTAGCTTCAGCACACTTCAATGCTGGTGCTGTGCTGGGACTTTGGGAAAATCTCATGATGGTTTGTGTTTGAATTTTTCTTCCGGGAAAACCCTAGAGGACCATCATCACTCAGATGTTTACCCCTAAAATAGCCTCAGGTAGGATTAGCATGCTCAGGTCTAAAACCAGAGCTAAACCAAACATTTTGTATGCGGTTTTGAACAAAGTTATGGATGCCCGAGTTGCAGTGTTACATTCAGAACGTTTCAGAAAACCAGCTGGTCCCTTCAGGTGGTTTGTGGTGTTATTTGCACAATAAAGTTTCTACTTCTCATTTGTGTTTGACAGATCTGCTGCAGTTACTGATTGAAAAGCCAGCTAAAAACTGCTAAGGACGATAAATGTAATTTTTCATTGTGTGGGATGTGGTGTTTACAGTTATGCTTTGCTATATAACTCCTGAAAGGGTGCGTACGTGTGCATGTAGGTGTGGAAAAGAGAGTCACTGATCGTTCCCTAACGCTTTTTCCTCTATTGTCCAAAATGCTGCCAGCTCTCTTTAATTACTACGCTGCCATGCAAATCCAAGTTGATGTTGGGTCCTCAGTGGCTCCTTCAGTTTTATGGTATTCCAGGAAAAGTTACAGCTTCCAAGCAGTCTAGGGGTTCAAGTACACCTCTTGGGTGTGTGGCCCTGCAGCTGCCATGCAAAAACTTGCTTTAGTTTTGTACCTGTGTTTCTACTATGTCTTGTATCCTCACTGCTGTTGTGTTGGTCTTGCTGGTCTTCACCATTCTCACCTTCCACTCATCCTTCTAATTCAACCATTGCGAAATTGACTGGCCATCCTAGTTGTGGTAACATTAAATAGCTCTTAATAAATGCCACACTGAAAATCTGAGAAACGCTGTATCCAGCTTTTAATCTCATGATTGTTACTGTGGTCTCAGAGACCTAGCAGCCTGGCTCATACCCACTATTGCTGGCTTTTCAGAAGATAGCCTCATCCTGGCCTTCCAGAACATGTCATTATTTTTTTGGACCTCTCAGCCACTGCTTCTGTTGAAATGTACCTTCAGGACATCTCCTACATGGTGCAACAGACCATCCTTCTCAAGTGCTTCTGATACTGCATACACCATGGTTAGGGGAACTGCCAGTGGGGCTTACTTGTTTTGTGACTTTGCAAATGAGCATGTACCCATGTATGCATCTGTGTGTATCTGCACAAAGCAATGGGTATGTAGCATTACTGGCTGTGGTTTGGGTCATTTGTGAAATCACTAGCTGTCAAGTTTGAAAAAGGGATGTTCCTAGTCATTGCTACGAAGGACCACTGAAAAATGACAAGCAAAGTTTCCCTGCTGCAGTATCACTGCTTAAGGGCTGAGTTCCTTGGAAAAAAACACAGGTGTTAGCCCACAGAGAACATCTTATGGCCTTCTGATCAAGGGCATCTTGGTGTCCTTTCCTCCCTCCTGTCATAAGAACTGTGAATTTCTCATTGTCAGTCATAGATATTGTAACCATGTTGTAATGCGCCTCTTGAAGTGTCGTTTTGACAAGAGTGGATGTAATTCTAGCTAATTCTAATTCCCAGTAAGATGGGAGCTGTGACGTTAGAACTGCCTGCAGAGTTTTGCTCATTCAGGGGTAAATGAACCCCTTTTAGGAGCCCCACTTAAATAAAGTGCCTCCAGAAAGGTTTAATGAACTGAAACTTCAGGTGTTTAGATATAATTCGGAGTGGAGTGCGTGTAAGAGCGGATGATGGGTGTTGCTTGTTGGCAAGTTTGCAGTGAATTTTCAATGTGGCATCACTGTCGATTTCAGCTTGCTCAGCTGCTGGCAGAACTGAATTCCATACCTGACCTATTCCCGGTGAAAACGCCCACCTCTACTCCTCCGGTAAGTCTCTGGTGCTGGCTAGAGGTGGCAGTTTTTTTTTTCTAGATTTAGGATTAATGTGTTTCCTCATGAAATGCTTTCACCAAGTTTGTTCGGGTTTTCTTTGGTTTTGGTCAGATTATCTGTGTAGATTTGCTATTGGTCAGTATTTAAGTACCAGAAGTTATGTGAGGAAATGGAATTTTGTAAGATAATTTATGAAGAACTATGGAGACCAAGGTGATTCTTTATCATTTGTGCCCTAGAAATACTGTTGAGATGCTAGACAAATGCCTGTGTATGTGGGAATAAGTAAGAGAAGTAGTTTTCCTTTGGGTTTGGATCCTGTTAATTTCTCTCTTGCAGGCTTCTCTTTTAAAACTCACACTTCCCAGCAGACCTATGATGATGAAATTGAACCACTTCAACATGAACCCAGAATGATACTGTAGTTATTTCACAACTGACTTTTCTTGGCTAGAAGCAGAGAACTATTAACCCTCTAGGTTCTGTATAATGTTTTTTCAAGTATATTATAAACAAAAGAGATTTGAGGAAAAATTGAAGGGCCATGCCTTTGGGAAACCCATATAGAAATGCTGGTGTGGTGTTGTCAGGTGAAAAAGTGAAGCCAAATTATACAGTCTTTGAAAGGCTGGAGCCTTGCTAGTCTAGTTAAATGCTACAGAAGCTTAAAGTTATCCTTCAAATACGTACATAAGCCTGCTACTTTTATTTAGTATCTTTACTTGAGGAAGGGGGAAGGCATCAGGAGTATTCTAGTTACCTCATCTGCTTGGTTTTTGACTTCCAATCTGTTTCCTTGTAATGTGCCTTTCACCTCTTCTGAAGGAAATAAACTAAAGTGTATGGTGGCAAGCAGACTTGCTTCCTAAATCTTGTTTATACTGTCCAATTTAGTAGCTGCCTTTATGGTAGGTGTCAGTGCATGAATTAAATCACGCAGTAATTGGCAGGTGTGACATTATGAAGAGGGTATCGTGTGCCTCCTAGAAATGTCCAGGTTTTAGGAATCTGGAAACAGGAGAAGCAGCTTATTAATGCCCTTCAATTTAAAAAAAAAAACAAAACCAAAACAACAAACAAACCAAAGCAAACAAACAAGCCAAAATAACGTAGAATTTTAATTATTCCTTGAAGGTGTATTCAGGTTGTGGGAAATCTGAACATTTAGCTACTGTAGAATAGTGAGAGCTATCTTCTACCTTGATATGCCATACATTAAATTTTGGTATAGTTCTGTGATGTTAATTGGAATAGAATCTGACTGTGAAGGTGTGGCATTTAAAAGGAGCAAAAAGGTACAGGGTGTAGGAAGAACACTTTAAGAATTCTAGAAATTGGTGAGGTTTGGCTTAACAAATAAGGGATGCGTGAAGAACTGATTAATTCATGATAGTACTAGTGTATTACAGACATTTTCAGATCATTTCTGGTGTTTAACACTGCAAGCATAACTGAAAGGACAGTTACTGGAATTTTCTCTTTCTAGAAACAGAAGAAGATCCCAAGGAGGACACTTTCTGAAGGCCAGATAACACGTCGCATGAACCCAACCAGGAATGCTCGTCCACCAGAAAAATTTGCCTTGGAAAAATTTACTGTGTCGGCTGTCAAATTTGCAGAACACTTCGATACCTACAGTCAACAAAACCTCCTGAAGAAGAGACTCAGTGTGGTATTTGCCAGACTTTGGTATCTCCACTAGTCAGGGATTAGGAAACATTTAAACTGTTGGCCAGCACTTAGAACAGACATCACATCCTACAGAAAGTGAGAACCTTTAGTTGGAATTAGCTACAGAAGAAGTTATTTTCAGGCCTTCCTGCCTTATCTTTTACCTGTTAGCTGGGCTCTATTTTTGATATGTGTTATCCAAACATAACATGGCAGTAACTTATGGTCTTATTATTTATTCATTATCTGAGAACTACTAGAGCCCACAATGTAGAAGGCCTTTGAGCGGCAGGGCAGTGGGGCTGGTGGGGGTGGCAAAGCAGATCTTCTCTATCTTCAGACTCATAAAAAATTAGCAAAACCCTTCTCTGAAGTAGCAGAGTTATAGCTGATAGTGATGGATGCCCTCGACTCCCCCGTCACACATTCTTCACACTCCAGTGTGAATGAAGGGAATCTGTACCAACAAACTGCTGTTGCATTGGCTAGCCATTCAAAAGCTGACGGTTTTATTCTTCCCCATTTTTTAAAAATCTGTTTTTTTCATCCCTTAGCTTATGGTGGTCATTTGTCTTGGTTATATTTACTGTATAGCCTTTATGAGGAAGACTAAGTCTGCATCTGCACAGGCTGGATCCCAGTTCTGCTTGTAGGAATGAGTGCTGGGCATAGTTGAAGCATTACAGAGGGAACTCAGCTATTAAAAAAAAGTGGAGTAGCACTGAATGAGAACCTGGCTGGTAAATTACTATTTTGGAGAGAACAGAGCTGATCTAGGGTGAAGGACAAATGAGGTTTTAAGAATGGGGTAGGGGGAAGGCTGTAGATCAAATGAGACTTGTACCTGAATAGGGGCCAAAGAGAATGATCATTGGAAGGAAAAAAAGAGCACTTAACAGTGAGTGGAGGACTCTCTTCCACATATCAAACAGGGTAAGAGGAAAAGGCTGGTTATGGCAGGAGTAAGCTAAAACTTCAGTAAAGGTTTTTTGCAGGACATTAGAGATTGTCACTGGAGAAACAATTGGAGATTATGCTAGGAGACTGAAGGAAAAAAGCATGGGAAGGCAGATGATGGTCATAGTTCCTTATTTTGAGAAGGAAGAAATAGAGTGTGAAGAGTTACAGTGGAAGTATGCAGGGAATGCATATTAGGGATTTGTGGAAATAGAAGTAGCAATGATGGGAAGGAAGAACATATAAACAGAACAAATAATAAATGGAGTAGAGAAAAGATGAGGGAGGAGAGGAAGAGGTGGTAATGATTTGAGAACTCTGTTCCCTGTTCTTCCAGTGGTCCACAAGCCTGTAGTCCACCCCCTCTAGACTGCATACTTATTATAAATGAAAGAATTTGTCACCAGGTTTGGTGACAGAGTCTTCATGACACCAGACAAAAGGTGTTGAGATGAGTTTGTTTAGCAGGGGGATTGTGGAGTGCGCAAAAGGAGGAGATCATCAAAGTACTCGTCTCACCGTCCAGTAGAGGATATTACTGAGGAGGACTTGGACAACATTGCAATCACTGTTAAAGACAAGATCTATGACAAAGTTCTAGTAAGTGGTTGCTGTATTCTTTAGTGTGTTGATGAACTTGAAAGTCTCTTAGTAGTTCACTGGTGCTTGTTAAAAGGTATGCTTTCCTGAGGTGCTGGAGAGTGCAGCTTGGCATCATTATATCACATGAGCAAAACTTTGAAAGCTTTGCCAGGCTTCCATGGGCTTGCCTGTGCCGGTTGATAAGCCCCACCAACTTTTTGCTTCTGCAAAAAACTGCCTTCTTGCCATAGACTTATTAAGTAGAATTTGCTATAGCTATGACTCACCACTGATGAGAGTTGACATCCCTTTTATCTTTCATTCTTACAATACAAATGTTGTGGCAGTGGTGATTGTACCATTAAATAATAGTAATCCCTGCTGCTCCCTCTGGAAATGACATTTCTGTATGAGCTGGGTAGTTTCCAAAGCTCTTGATGGAACTACTTCCTTTCCTTCACTGGATTTGGCTACTATTGTCATAAAGATCTAAGTGATCAGCTTACTATATATTTCATGCTTCATTGTATTTGCAGACATGAATCACAAGGTCATTTTCTGAATAGTTTTAGTTTTTTCCTAGATAAGAAAGGATCAGAACTGCAACATGGGGTTCATGTAGTTTGAGACTCCCAGTGCAACTGAAGCTAGGCAGCATCTCTAAAATTCCTAGCATTTCTCCGGATAACTATTATGTTTTATCACGACAGAAGGTGGTTTTTACTAAGTTTCTCATTGCTGAATTTGACTTTGGCTTGAAGTTTGTGCTTTGCTATCAGCATTTAAGATATCCCTCATATATATGTGTTTCTCCTCCATTCCAACTTTAGGGTAGTACTTGCCACCAGTGTCGACAAAAGACAATTGATACAAAGACAGTCTGTCGCAACCAGGGCTGTGGAGGAGTAAGGGGGCAGTTTTGTGGACCGTGTCTTCGAAATCGATACGGGGAAGATGTGAAATCAGCACTGCTTGATCCAGTAAGTATAATTTCTTGGGCTTGGAAAGAAAGTGTAAGGTATACAGTTTTGTTAGTAAGCTGTGATGAGTATACACTCAACATGGTGTTGAAAGCTTTTTGCCATGAGAAGATCTGTAGTACTGTTAGGACTGACACTGATCTTGTTGGAACTCCAGTGGAAGGTACTGGACCTTGGTTACAGTCCACCCATCTTTGGACTTTGAATATCCACTTGCTTACCAGATAGTGGAGGGGAAGTGTGAGAGCTTTTAAGGAAAGGAATCTGTTCCCTTTCAGAAAAATTCCAAAATGTACCCTTTTTAAAATGCTCTCAGTAATGTGGCGTGCAAAGCAGGTTCCTTGTTTTAGATTCTAGCTTTTAAATATGATGAAAAAAAAAAAGGATACGTAAAAGTCTTGGGGTTGGTTCCCTTTTCTCTGTTGTCCCCTGAGGCGCTGAGCAAGGAGAGAGCACAGGCTGCTGCTAGAGAATAAGTCATTTGGTACACAAAGACCTCTCAGCAGAATTGCTCTTTCTGTGCTCAGCTTGTTCTGGGACTTCCTCTCCCCCACTGTTGCTTTAGACACGGGCTTCAGGCCTGGTCTGAAGGACAGTGAAGCACTAATAGCTCTGATGGGCTGACCCAGTGTGGCAGTGGCTGCTATTATGTAACACAGGCTGTTAGCACCTATATGTCTGTGTTGTTGATGAGCAGCTGGGAGGTGCCTGGATTCATGTACATGCTGGGTAACTGAGTGCCAGGAATTGTGCTACACCAGCAGGCAGAGCTAGGTCAACCTAGCATAGGATGAGTTAACCAATAGGCATTAAAGATGCCTTTAGTCTATTTGAAAATTAGTATTGAGCACATCAGATAACCTGAGTCTTCAAAGTAAGAAGTATTCAAGCAAGCAGGGGAGTACTTAATTTCTTTAATCCTGCAGAATTTGGAAAGGGTTAACAAGGTTGGCTGGCTGATATAGGCTTTTAAAACCTTGCCCTGAACAATCACTTGGTAGGGAAGCCATACTTATGTCTGTTTGAACAACAAGAAGGTGAATATAACCTTGCTTATGGCTTGCCTTTACTCTGCTCCCACATTCACCCCCTTGCAGGCCTGGATCTGTCCTCCTTGTCGTGGGGTGTGCAACTGCAGCTACTGCCGCCGGCGGGACGGGCGCTGTGCCACGGGCATGCTCATCCACTTGGCCAAGTTCTGTGGCTACAACAACGTTAAGGAGTACCTGGAAAGGTGAGGGCCATGCCCTGTGGTCATTCCTTTTAAAAGTATTGTGGCCCTTTAAATAATACTTGACTTCTGTAGCCTAGGACAGATCTTGGGCCTATGCAAAAGAAGTCTCTTGGACTTCAGTTTTCTCTTAGGTTGAAATCAACTTCAATAGTGAGTCTGAGTAAACAACTCATTTGTTTAAGAAATTGAAATGCTTTTGCCTATTTTGAAGGCTGTATTATTGCTTGAAACATACAGAAGTGCTGTTTTGGGAGTTGTCATCTTCAGCAGTTTGGGAAATTGTTTGTTTCTGGGGAACCTGAGTTTCCTAAAAAGCACTAACATGGTTTTCTCACATGTCTTCTAGTTTACAAAAACAACTGGCGGATGACAATTGAGAACACTGAATTCAAGCTGTGTCTGCAACTGGTCAATCTGCTGACAAATTTTAACTTTGAAAGGATATTACTATGTTTTATATAAGATAGAATTGTAGAGTATAGTATATGCTTTTCTGTGTTACAAACTTTTTGATTTATGTGGTCTTATGCAAAAGATCTCTCAGGAAAATGTTTTGGTAGAGAAATCTACATGCACAGACCTATACATTAAATGAAATGGCACTCTTGAACCTTGAGTGGTTAATTTTTAATAGAGCTACACAGCCACGTGATGGAGAACTTGATCAATCTGAGCAATATTTTTATTTATGTAATTGTGCGAGTTTGCAGAAAGGGTGTTTAACAACTCCCGATAAAGCGTACCCTGTCTTTAAAGAAACAAAAATCCCCTTGTGTTCCAACTTGAACATAAAGATTCAGTTTTCCAAGATTCAGTTTTCCAACCTTTGCATTCTGAACCTATTCCTCCACCTGTAGTTTGTGGAACTTGTCCCTGCAAAAAAGGGAAGGGTACTTTTTATCTGAATGCTATTATATTCCAGCCAAAGCCGATGCAACCTACCTGTGGGAGGATGATTTTTTTTATTCCAAAGTGCAATTAATGACTGAAACATGAAAGTGAAAGTGTTTTGTAAAAAAAAAAAAAAATTAAAAATTTTAAACATCATCCCATTAAAGAAAAAGAATTGCTCACTAGCAGTTTTTGTGTGATTCACCTGCTGCCTGAACCAACCACCTTACAGCAACCATAGCTGGTTAACGGGTTTAAATCATAAAGTTCAAGATTTTTTTTTTTACATATAGTTCATACTTAGATATTTTTTTTCATATGTATAACCAAGCTTTCAGAAAACTTTGTTTAAATGCATCATGTTTGTATTGCAGTATGATTATATTAAAATTCTTGTAAGATACATGTTTTTTTTAATGTAGAGAGAATAAAGAATAATCAAGAGGAGTATTTTCTGAGTCAAACTCCACCCAGATGCTGATATTTCCCATTACCTTTCCTGTAGCTGGTGTAATCATGTGGGAAAGTACATGAACATGGCACTGAAGTATGAGGAAATAACAGAGCACGTTAAGTTTTACACAAAGGACTGTGTTTCTGTGAGGTGAATCATAGAATCACAGAATCATTCAGGTTGGAAAAGACCCTTGGGATCATCGAGTCCAACCATCAGCCCTACTCTACAAAGTTCTCCCCTACACCGTATCCCCCAACATCTCATCTAAACAACCCTTAAACACATCCAGGGATGGTGACTCCACCACATCCCTGGGTAGCCCATTCCACTGTCTGGCCACTCTCTGTGAAAATTTTTTCCTAGTGTCCAGTCTGAACCTCCCCTGTTGGAGTTTAAAGCCATTCCCTCCTGTTCTGTCACTAATCACCCGTGAGAAGAGACCAGCACCAACCTCTCTACAATGTCCTTTCAGGGAGCTGTAGAGAGTGATGAGGTCTCCCCTCAGCCTTCTCTTCCTCAAACTAAACAGTCCCAGCTCCTTCAACCTCTCCTCACAGGATTTATTCTCCAGACCCTTCACCAGCTCTGTTGCCCTCCTCTGCACTCGCTCCAGCACCTCGAGATCTCTCTCGTATTGAGGTGCCCAAAACTGGACACAACTCCAGGTGTGGCCTCACCAGTGCAGAGCACAGGGGGACCATCACCTCCCTACTTCTGCTGGTCACACTATCTCTAACACAAGCCAGGATGCTGCTGGCTCGTGTTCAGCTGCTTGTCAATTAGAGCCCCCAGATCCTTTTCTTCCAGACAGCTCCGGCCGCACCTCCCCAAGCCTGTAGCCGTGCAGGGGGTTGTTGTGGCCCAAGTGCAGGACCTGGCACTTGGCCTTGTTGAAGCTCATCCCGTTAACGTTGGCCCACCGATCCAATCTATCCAGGTCTCTCTGTAGTGCCTCCCTATCCTCATGCAGATCGACATTCCCGCTTAACTTGGTGTCATCTGTGAACTTACTGATGACACACTCTATGTCCTTATCAAGAGCATCAATAAAGATGTAGAACAGAAATGGTCTCAACACCGAGCCCTGAGGAACACCACTGACCAGCCACCAGCTGGATTTAGCTCCATTGACCACCACTCTCTGGGGCTGTCCATCCAGCCAGTGCTTGACCCAGCAGACTGTTCGCTAATCCGGGCCATGAGCAGCCAGTTTTTCTATGAGAAATCTATGGGAAACTGTCAAATGTTTTTCAAAAATCCAGGTGGATAATATCAACAGCTTTTTCCTCATCCAATAGTGAGGTCATCTTGCCATAGAAGAAGATCAGGTTTGTCAGACAGGACCTGCCTTTCATAAACCCATGCTGGCGGCCTGGTCCCCTGGTTGTCCATTATGTGCCTTGTAATGACACTCAGGATCATGCTCTGTGACCTTCCCTGGCACTGAGGTCAGACAGGTCTATAGTTTCCTGGATCCTCCTTTCTGCCTTTCTTGTAGATGGGTGTCACATTTGCCACCCTCCAGTCCAAAGGGACCTCCCCAGTTAGTCATGATTTCAGGTAAGTCATGGACAGCGGCTGGGTGAGCACATCTGCCAGCACCCTTGGGTGTAACCCATCCGGTCCCACAGACCTGTGTGCATCCAAGTGGTGCAGCAGGTTTCTGACCATCTCCTCTTCCACTGTGCTGACCTCAGTCTGCTTCCCCTCCCCATCTCCCAGCTCATGAGGCTGGGTGTCCAGGGAACAGCCAGTTCCACTGCTAAAGGCTGAGGCAAGGTAGGCATTGAGCACCTCAGCCTTTTCCTCATCCTTAGTTACCATGCTTCTCTCAGCATCCAATAAAGGAGGGAGGTTTTCCCTAATCCTCCTTTTGTTGTTAATGAATTTATAGAAACATTTTTATTATCCTTAACATCTATAGCCAGGTTGAGCTCTAGCTGTGCTTTCCCTACATAACTTCACTACATCTTTATAGTCTTCATGAGAGACCTGCCCCCTCTTCCAAAGGCAATAGACTCCTTTTGTTCTTGAGATCCAGCCAAAGGTCCCCGTTTAGCCAGGCCGGTCTGCTTCCCCATCTGCTTGTTTTTTGGCACATGGGAACAGCCCGTTCCTGTGCTTTAAGACTTCTCTCTTGAAGTACATCCGGCCTTCCTGGACTCCCATATCCTTCAGGGCAGCCTCCCAAGGGATTTTGATGATCAGTCTTTTGAACGGGTCAAAACTTGCCCTCCAGAAGTCTAAGGCAGCAGTTTTACTAAACCCTCTCTTTGCTTCCCCAAGGATCAAAAACTCAATCATCTCATGATCACTGCACCCTAGACAGTCTCCAACCTTTACTTCCCCACAAGCTCTTCCCTGTTCGCAAGCAGCAGGTCCAGGAGGGCACCTTCCCTGGTCGGCTCACTCACAGCTGTGTGAGGAAGTTATCCTCCACACGTTCCAGGAACCACCTGGATTGTTCCCTCTCTGCTGTGCTGTGATCCCAGCAGATACCTGGGAGGTTAAAGTCCCCCACAAGAACAAATCTGCTCCATCTGACTATGAGAAATTTTTATCTCCTTTTGCTTTAACTACAAGGCAGATTGAGAAAGCAGCACATGCTATTGCAAGTTTAGTACTAAACCACCAAGAGTAAAGCTACTCCTGCTGGAACCGATTTAGCTGGCTTCTCCTTGCTTTTTGAAGTCCAAATGTAAATTTGCCCTCTGCTTTTGGTTTTATAAACAGGACATTTAAAAAAACGTTCTTAGTTTCCCTTCAATCCACTGGAATAGCCCTTAGAAAAGTGGCTGGCATTGCTTGAGTCAATTCCTTGAGCCAGGCTTCAGCTATGGTTTCCAGCTGGATGTCCCAGCAGGTGCCTGCAGTAAACGTAGGCACATGGTTTACCTGGTGTTCTGTTAGTGCAAGACCAGAATAATTTGGGTTTAAATAGTTCCTTATTGCTAAATACTTAAAGCTACATTTGAACATACAGATTTAGACTGTTGATGGCCTAGTTTGCATTATCTCTGTGTACGAATGTGGAGGTATGTACCATATGCCTGGACTAGACTTCTGGTTTCATCAGCATGCCTTTTTACTGAAAGTGGGGACTGGAAACTACTTTACTTACAGTCGGGACTTTGAGTATGCCTGTGACTGAACATGCCTGTCAAAGTCAAGTGCTCAGATTTCCTCCTAATTCTCCACTAGTTTATTATGGTCAAGTATTCCAAAAGGTGGAGAACTGCACTGGAGTATTTAGCATACGTTTGTGTAGTGAGATATCAAACAAGTACTTCAGCATAGTTAAGACAAATGAGTTCTGTGCTGCTGAAGGGCCATGCACTTTCTGAAAGATGCTGGCTTTGTTAACTTTGTGGTGTGGTCTTCTAACATAAACTAGCATATAAAATGTTTCACATGCTTGTTTTGGATTTTAGGAGTGTTTATGTAGCAACAGGAAGGTTTATATTTGCACATACCAACACAAACACAGAAACCGCAGCTCACAAGGTGCCTTGATACCTTCCTCATACCCAGAGGAGGAATGTATTGCCCTTTGAGAGACAGTATTTAAAAAAAAAAAATCCTCTGAAAAATTCAGGCTACCATTTCAAAAAGCAACAATCAAATGACATGCTCACCATTGTTCGGGTCCCCAGTGCTGACTTTCCCCTTGGGGCTTACCAAGGGGAAAGCAGCAACTCCCTTCCAAAGGAGTTGCTTTCTTTCAGATGTGGTGAAGAGTACAAGTAATGATGTTTCTCTAATTGCCTGTTGGAGTCATTCACCTTTCCTCTAATTATCTGTAACTTAATTGACAGCCTTTCTAAGATAAAACTAAAATCTCATTTTGGCTGCGGGCCTTAATTGTCATTCCTAAACTAGATGCTTCAGTCTCAGGAAAATAAAATTGCAAAAGAGCAAGGTACAATGTTTTATCCTCTGAAAGTTGTTAAAAGAGTTGTCAAAAGATGAACACAATGTCTATTCAGGGACAGCCTACAACAATATTACAGCTACTGCAATAATTGACTGCTTGGAAATCCAGATGAAAAATCTACTCTTGACGTACTTACACATTTTCCACTTAGGTGTGTCATTATACCTCATGCTAATACAGGGGTTCTCAAGTATTTCCTTGCTTCTTGGTATGTCTCCCCAGTGGCATATAAGTACTATGGCCTATCAGATAAAAAATTCAAAACTGTTTAGATATTTATTTAGGACTGACAACTTTCTGCCAAGGTGGAAGGAAAAACAGGAGAAAGATTATTTTGAAATATTTTTTTTTGTTTGGTTGGTTGGTTTGGGGTTTTGTTTGTTTTTGTGTTTTTTAACTATAACTGTGTAGATGGCTTGATCCAGGTTACCAACATCTGGTAACTACTGGCCCTCTTCTGCACCCCCAAGAGCTGCAGAAAATTTCTAGGTGATCAGTATCAGGGTGAAATTTAAAGTCTCTGGAATAGCTTCTGAACCTCAACTAGATGAGAGCTGCTGCTTTACTATAATGCAGACCTTGTTCAAACCCAGTTAACATTTAAATGCATGAAGTATATAGTCAGTGATTGGGACACCAAGCTGGTATATGTAAAGTCACCGTGGACCAACACCAACAATCCACCACCACTCCTAAACTTCCTTGGTGCTGTTCATAGGATCACAGCACTTCAGTCTGACTTCTGAGGGAACTTATCTACCTAACGAACCCAGCTAGAGTCCCTGAACTAGGTTACTGAGATCAAGCAATTTAAGTTTATTTCTTACCTCCCATGAAAAGCCCACAGATACAGGCTCCTTCCCTTGGCGGGTGGCCATAATCTTCTTTGGTCTTTTGGTAACATCTGCAGTCAAGCACACCTTATCCAAAGACCAGTTGTTCTTCCATTAGAGTTTAAAAAATAATACTTCCAATAATTCAATATCCAGAGAGTAGTTTCAATGTCAGAACTGTTAACATGTCCCTCTTGGGCCAGTTGTGCTCAAGCCCAAGACTGACTGGGGTTTATTTGTTTGTTTTTTCCTTTGGCCATTATTTGAAGTAAGGCAAAAAAATGCATGAATGCAATTGTTTGAAAACAAAACATTCTACACAATACCAAACAACCACCACCCCCTCTCCCAGCAGGGGAGCAAGACTGCATTGCTCTGCATTCAGAGATACCGCTTCTCTCCGACTGAGTCCCTGTTCAGAACAAGCCCGAGCTAACATCTATTCTAGTTCTTACGTCTCCCCAGCCCTTGACAGGAACAAGCGCTCAAAAGAGAAAGCTTGGAGAGAGTCAGTAAAAGGAGTCAAAAATACACTGGGGGTTTCTCTATGTTTGTAGCACAAAATGAGCCATCTGGGGACCTCGACATAAGCAGCAGAGAGAAGAGGAGCTGCCTGCCAGCCTTCATGCTGCCATCCCCTTCTGCTTCCAAGTACAGGGAGAGGCGCTTCAGTGTCTGGGCTGCAAACACTCCCTGGGCTCTCACAGCCTGTCTTCTCCAGGGAATGATGGCAGCCTGGCCAGAGTGTCCTGTGAGGAGCTCCTGGCCACCTTTTTGCTAGGCTAGTAAAGGATTATCTCAGTGACATCGGTGGCCATGCAGAATTCGAGATATGCTGCTCCTGGCCTTTTATCTGGCTTCACTGTGCTCTTCAGAATAAATACATGGATATGTGCTGTGATCATGAGACGTCAATTCACTGCTGAAGCTTTTTCATCCTGTACTGTGGCAACAACTGCACAAAGAGAACTGGGAGACCAATTTATTTTTTCTTCTTAGCCTGGTAACTGTGTTAATACTTCGAAATAAACCAGAATGGTACCATGACATATGCACTGAATTGGTTAAGTAATAATGGTAGGAAAACTTGCACTCTTAACCCTTTTTAAACTATGAGAGTCAATCTTTTATTTCCTTAATAGCTTTGTCTTCCCACTTCTGAGTAGACTGAAGATGAGTTTGGATTGTTCCCCCTGCTTTCAGGAGATGGTTATTCTGATATTTGGCTGTTTTTTATCTTGTTATTTAAACTGTGCGTAACTCTCCGAACAACATCACAAACATAGCTAACACCAATAGTAAAAAATAAATGTCTGACAGTGAAACCATATGTCTGGTTCCTTACAACCATCACTGCTTACCTGTCAGAAAGGACTGAGGATTGAACAAGCCAGAAAGCCACACCACCACTGGCAGCACGAGGTCCTGTGTCCAGATGTCACATTTTCCTTAGTGCACGAGAAGATCGGTAACCCTAAAAAGAGAAGCAGCAATAGCTTCTGCCTTAATCTATATGGATTTTAGACAAGATAAATTGCAGGCTTCAAGTGTAAGAGTCCTTTTGTACAGAAAAAGTACATGGCTGAAGTAACGAGAAAGTATATGCTTACGTAGGCATAAGATCATGGTTTTGGTGGAATTTGTTCCTTCCTTCATGTAGGTATGTCCAAAATCAACTGTAGAAGGTGATCAGCATGAGACGAGTTGCTGGCAACAGAGAATGTGAGTATGCTCAGTCCTGTAAAACATCTTGGAGAAACCTGAACGTAACCATAAGTCATATTAACACACCTTCAGAAACTGCCAGAAATTGGTAACAAGAATTGATGGCTTATTAAATGCAATTTGTCTGATACCATTTAAACTTCCAATAAGCCAGAGCAAAGTACAAATCAGGAGCACAAGAGAGTTTGACAGAGACTCTGAGCATACTGCAGCATACATTGCCATGAGATATCAGAGGAATTTCAAAAAAACCCTGCCTATTTTATCCATATATAACCACTTGCAATTGGATATTGGTGGTGGCAGGCTAGGGGAAAAGGAAGAACAAGATGCTGAACACCCCTAGTACTTGTGACAAAGGGAGATGACAGACCCTTTGCCTTAGCAAAGTGCTTAGCATTTCTGCAAAACACTTCAAACTGACTTGCATTAAGACAAATTTTGGACAAAAAAAATAAATGGAACAAAGATGCTGGATTCAGAGCACTGGAATAGCTCTGCATAGTAGCTAAACCCTGTTACTGTAGAGTACTTACCAGCAGGCAAGGCTGTGTGTAGATGGATATGCCAGTTTAGCCCATGTGTCTGGCACAGCCTCAGAGAAAAGTATGGATTGCAGAAATTGCATGTGAGGAGAAAACATCAACTCCCCCTATGAGAAAAATAAAAAGCATACTGGCATCATAAAGAATAGCTATTCTTTCATTCCCCAAAAAAGCAACAAAAAGCCCCAAAATACACAGAAGATCAACAGTACTGTTAATAAAATGTCACTTGCCTTCAGACCAAGCTTCAGCTCTGTAAGAGACCTATGGATCTTTGAGAGGAGGAGGTTCATCCTCTCACACTCTTGAAGGCAGACAAGGGCATAGGGGCTTCAGGCTGTAGTCTTCTGCATTATTTTTGCCATGTTAAATTCCTTGGGAATCATGTCCAGAGTATCATGCAGGACATTCTTAACCTGTCCATGCCAATACAAATCACTGCAAGTCTGATTTCTTCTCCAGGAGAGCACAAACATCCCATTTTCTTAGGCAGATAAAAACCAGAGATGGTCCCCCCACCTTAGCTGTCTCCTTGGCAATAGTATTGAGAGAAATAACTGCAAACCAGTTAACACTTAGTAGCTTCTATTTAGCTTTACATTTTCAAGTAACACTGACCTCCAAAGCCCACCAACACATCATCCCTGGGCTTGCAATGACTGCTGTTACAAGGATGTACTCTGAGATTGCCTTGGTTTTCAGTCAAGCGTGATTAGCAGTTTGTATTTCTGTAGTACTTAATAGCTTCCATCACCCCTTCCACCACCCACAGTCCTTACAGTCTCAAGCATTAGGCAAAATACAGTGCAGGCACAGGTACATACATGTCTCACCTTCCAGAAGAGCTTCTCCCCCTCCCTGCAGGCCTGCTCTGGAACTGAGACAGAACATAAATGAAGAACAATTCTTTACAGTACTAATTAGCAGGAACTGAAATCACAATATTAATGCAGCTCAGTCTCCATTTCAGCCCTAGCTTTGGCAGAATTAATGATGAATGCCATACATAGTTATCCACGCTCCCTAAAGTGGATGGCAACTGAACACGAAAAGCACAAACTCCCCCTGGGAAATGAGGCATTGTTTGGCTACTTGCATGAAGAGCTGTCATATTATCTCCTGCAAAACCTCCATGGTGCTAAGAGGAAAGAAAAATGAGTGCCCAGAGGAAAAGGAGGGAGTAAAGAAAAGGATGAAGAGTTGCAGAAGAAGAGTGGCAGTCATGGGGGAGTTTAACTCTGGTAAGGATGAGGAGCTGAAGGCTTGGTCTCATGATATGCCATTTTTGGGGGCATCTGGACATAGTTTCTCAGGTCTATACTCAGAAAGGAAGGTGCAGAAGACAGCAGGGTCTGACAACAGAACTAGCGGAGCTTGCTGATTACATTTTCCTTTACTGTTCATCTTTTATTCACTTAATCTGTTAAGCACAGCACCAGTGATGTTCCATGCCTAAACCCCAGTCTTTTACAATTTTCTGGAACCAATTTGGTTGTACAAAGATACCTGGGTGTCTGAGGTATCTTGTCTATGAACAGAACTACAGTGCCCCACCCCAGTTAACTCCGTATTAAGTGACAAAGCTTATCTTTGTATTAGGGTTGGTCCCTTCAACGCAGCATCTGATAGCTTATAGGAATGAATGTTATTGTTCTGCTAAACTCCAGATTTGGTAGAAGAGAGGTGCTGAGGCCAAGAGCTGGTCAGACAGCCTCATTGCCCAGATTTCACCTCTTCATACTCCCAGAAAACTAGAAAAACCCTGAAAACCTCCTCCTCAGCCACTGCCTGCAAGGGAAGTCTCTTGGAGCAGCCACATGGCTCCTGCTCAGGTCAAGGGCCCAGGGAGTGGAGTGGTGGGATAGCACTGTGCTTGGGCTGCTCTTCCTGCCCTGGGGACCCTATACATCACTGCTAGGCCGTGCTGTGAATGTGGCAGAAAGAAGCCAGGGCTGCAGGCTGGGAGGGAATTCCTATGCTCAGCACAAGCAGGAAGGAGCAGGGAAGCTGCCCAAAGGGGATTTATCATGCAGGAGATGGGAACAAAAATGCGTTCACAGAGGTGAAGACTAGACTCGTCAACTCAACCAACTGTAACTTTTTTTGGTAAATTACTGTTGCTGTACTTTTTTATAAAAACACACAAGAAAAGCAAGGTAGTATCATACCTTGTTTCCCACCCCACATTAAATTCAAAGTGAAAAAGAAATGGTCTGAATGGTCTGCATGACACGTTAGATATTCCTCTGGTCTAAATTCCTTAGTCCATACAGTACAGGTCTTTCAGATGGAAGCATTTCAGCTATGTATTTATGGTATCCAGCATAATCCAGATTTGGTGGGGCCAAGAAACCTGGTGCCACAGCCAGTTCCCCTTCAAGCTTCAGTAAAAGAATCAATGTTGTCACCAGTTCTTGAAACATCCTTCTGCATCGACAGTTTCAGAAATTTGTCTGGAGTCTATAAACACAACACCTATATGTTCTGATACAGCGGAACAGGTTTATCAAGCTAATTTTAGCACAGTTACTATTTGCACACTTTTCTGACATTCCCATTTTCCGCAGTATTGAAATACTGTTGCTGCTTCCTTCACAAGGGTGCTCTGAGTTTATTTTAAGAACTGTCACTACCAAGGTGAGTGTATTTTAAGTACTGAACTTCTGCATCCCCTCAGCAGACAAGCAAGGATTATTATGCCATTTTGGAGATGAGAGTCTGGAACACACAGGACGGAGTCACAGAGCACACCTGTGGGAGAGGCAGTACTGGAGCCTCAACTCACCTGAACTCTCATCACAGTACACGAGCTACAACATTAATTCTATTCAGTGTGTCGTTAACCAGGGGCTTTGCACAAACACACTGCACTCGTAATAACCTTCAAGAGGTCACAGGGAGAGCCAGGTAGATGAGACAGGTAAGTGGAGTGTGGAAATGGGATAGACATGTTGGTGTATGAGCAATCTTAGCTTCTCAGAAACAGATCCCATTCTACTTTCCAAAGACATGGTTGCCAGTTAGGACATTTCTTCACTTGTTGACGTCCTTTACTTTCTCTTCTGTCTGGCTGTTAATGCCCAGGAGCTGGAACAGGAAGAAAATCAAGCTACTCCACTATATCTCTCCAAATGTAGGAGTCTTGCCATGGGGTCTTGTATTGCTGCTTTGGTCTCTGTGAGATAGACAGTGGCGATAATTTTCACAGCAGAAAAAAATAAGGTCTCCATCAGCTCAATATTGAACAAAATACTATTAACTGCACCTTTCCTATAAAATAGGTGGGCCCTACCCCCATCAGTATATTAAACATGAGCCTTGGGACTTTGAAGCAGGTCAAGAATTAAGTAGGTAGTCAAGAGTTTGGTGAGATCTACTCTTGGTGGGTTGCTCTCCTACTGATGACAGGACAGTATAAAAGCTGCAGCAATCACATTTATTTTCCAGGCTCCCCCAGCTCCTGTACTGTAAGGACTTCACTGGATTCAAAGTTTCTCTGAACTTACTGTCATAGAGCTGTCTGGGACTTAAACCAGACTTGCAAGCTGTTTTTGCTGAAAAATATTTCTGGCTCTAAGTGGTACTTTTCACAGGAGCTATTTCTTCCTAATGCAGGGTCCAGTCTACAAAATCACAATAAAATTTATTGGCTTTTGGCATTTAGAACAGCCAACAACAAGCTGCTGCTCACAATAACACCAGTAAGCACTTATTTCTCAAGTCATTTTGGTTCTGCAACCAGCCATTTTCCTGTGCCTGAGCCTGCACCACTAACCTCACCCACAATAAGCTGTGTCTTAAGATGCCACTTTGAAGTAGTGTCGAGGTTTTGAAGAAAGCTGTTATTCACCTCGAGTGGAAGATCAATTCTGTCAGACAATCTGTACTTACCAGTCTCTCTGCTGGCACTTAAATTGGGTTTTACTGTATTCCTCAGAGCCATGCGGGTTACAGGGCTTCACAGCGGGAACTCACTGCCCTTCTGTCCTTACAACAGAACCCAGATGAGGTATAGCAAAGCTGCATATAGTGGTTTATTCTAATGCACCTAGGGGAATGGGTTTATAGCTAAAAGAACTCATCAGCAATGTGAATAGGTAAAAGAGAAGGTAATCTCCCAAGCAAACACAAAGCACCAGTGCTGATGAAAGGGGTTGTCATCCTGTTTGCATTCATTTGGCTGCCAGTCAATGAATTATTTTCTGGTTTTGCTGGTAATTCAGTGCTCTAACGTTTTCCAATTATGGCAAAAAGCTTGGAAAGATATCTCACTGTTTAAAATACCAGTGGATTCACGCTCGGGGTTGGGTCCCTAAACTTTCCAAAGGCCATACAAATAGCAGTGATTCTGCTCAGGTTTCACCACCTATACTTATTTTACAATTATTTGAATGAAAGTTCAGGCTTGTGAAGGTTAATGGACTGCCTAAACTGGAAGCAGTAATTCTTTACTTATCCATAGGCTAGAGGCAGAGCCAGAGCCGGCAGGATGAGCTTCCCACCATGCCCCCCTGACCTCAACTGTCATTTGGAGAAATCAGCCTACGCTGAGGTCAGGAGTACAGTGGTGTTTAGCCTTTCCATCTCCATGGCAACTTACTCTTGGGCATCTTCTTCTGAGCAGTTACTTCCAATTGCCTTCATCTGAGTGTGGCCTTTTGACATATGAAAACCCACTCGTTAGGGACTGAGGAGACACCAGCAAGCTCCTCTCACTCACAACCGAAAGGCAGGCTTCAGCCGCATCGCCAAGGGTGAAAAGTGCGCTTTCCCCAAGTTACCCAGGCTCCACAAATGGCCTGCTCACATGTAACACGCTAATTTTTTCTTTTTTTTTTCCTCCCAAAAAAGCTTTTTACCTTTGGACAATGAAAAATAACAAGTCTGGAAAGGGCACTTGAAAAATCTCTCAGCTGTTTTTAGCAAATTGTGTACAATGAGTTCTCTAAAGTCACTAGTTCAGCAGCTTAGGAGAAGCAGCCAGTTGGGTTTTTTTTTTTTAGGTATATGTATGTATATACGCACACACACATACACCTATATATGCATACACATTTTATATAAATGTATGTATGTGAAAATAGATTAAAGTAGTTTCCATGCAAGACTTCTTAGAACTAAAGTTAAAGCAATATTTTCTTTTTGTATCCTTGAAAATTCTAACTTTTGTTTCTGATTAGAAGCAACTTTGGCAACCTTGCATCTCGGACTCATGGATGTTCCTCACACACTGCCATACAGGACCAAAACTCAATAGTGAAATTTGGATAATTCAGTATTTATCAGCTGGTGATCACCTGACAAAGCTACAGAAACAGATGTGTGAGTGGGTGGTAGAAACTGAGAAATGATCTTACAAACTGTTTTCCTTATTTTGGAAACAGGAAAATGCAAGGACATGTATAACAATTACATTCTATTTTTTTTTTTCTCCGAGAAGAAAACATACAAAAAGTAAATGTGAGTTTTGAGGATAATGCCATTCTGGACTGCTGGAACTGATGAGTCTATCAGTTACATCGGTTGAAGTTCAGTTCCATAAAAGATACTTTCCTATGCCCACCCAGCCCTTTCTGTATGGCAGCACCTTAAAAGAGAGTAGTTTCATTAGGAAAATGGAAACCTAAATGTACTATCCCCTAATGTCATTAAGCTGGCTATACAAGCAATGTTACAAAACACTGAATTCAAGTTGCCAAGTAAGGGTGCTTGCAAAAGTATTTAAACAAGCAATATGCCAAGTCACAAACCCTTGCAGACAAAATCTGCTCACGATGACTCATTGTACTCATAACAAGTTGGAGAATTTATTCCCCCACAGCCAGACAAGACCTTACTACAGATGGGGCTGCACAGATGAGAAAGCTTGTGGTCTCCACAAGGCTCCAGTTCTGAAAGATGGCTTTCTTTTAGGTTGAACATACTAGATACATGTTTAAGGGCTTTAGGCATATATGAAAGTTCTTACCACTGGTGGGCTGATGAATTCTTGCAGATATATACAGCAGATTGTGTGGTCCCAGGCATTGGTGCTGTGGCCACTGTACATGATCTCTCCAAAGAGGTAATGCAAATCTTCCCAGGGAACCTACCCAGAGGGAATAGAACGCATCACTGAATAAAACAAGTCAGCTTTCTAAAGGTCTAAACAAAGCTGCTCAGAATAAATGCTGTTAAGAGAAACAAAAGAAATCAAAATACTTCCTTTCAGAAAGCTTCATGGTTATATATTTGCATTGGTGGTTTTGTTTGTTTAGCAAATAACTACACTGTAACACAGATTTCTTTTATTTCAATCCTGTGAGAGGTATCTATAAATATCTGAGTAAAAATATCAAGTTTGTGACTAAAATTCAGTAACGGTGTAAAGCGTATCATCTGAGCCTTATGTCATGTTTTCTACCTTATCCCTTACAAAAAGCTTTTAAGAGAAAAGTACATTTTCAAAACACCGCATGATATGAGAACATAACTCATTAACAAGTGCATGTATTTTCC